GAAGAGAACAGTATACCACTGTAATATAAGCATGGTCCTGAACAGCCTTTTAAAACTTAATGGTTGTTGTGCTCTCTTTTATCTGATTACTGTTTATTGAGCAGATAGTGTCTGTTGATGTGCCTGAATTTCACAGCTGTTTGCTCAGGCTTGCAATGGTTAACATAGAATCATAAGTTCTGTGTGCTCTTTTCGGCTTATGTTATCTTGCGTTGCCTGCTTTGATAGTGTAACTAAATTCTTATCTAAGTAACACCAGTCCTTTCCACACCCACCTCACCTTCCACTCTTTGTTGCAGCTACTACCCTGGCCAGTGTGAATGGGTATATTGCCCTGGAGATGCCATATCTTCTGTTGCAACATCCGAGAAGAGCACAGGAAAAATATTCGTATATGACGGACGAGGGAACAACCAGCCACTTCATGTTTTTGATAAACTCCATACATCCTCTCTTACTCAGATACGGTTGAACCCTGTCTACAAAGTAGTAGTGTCTTCTGACAAATCTGGAATGATCGAGTACTGGACTGGTACTCCTCACGAATATACATTTCCGAAGAATGTGAACTGGGAGTATAAAACAGATACTGATCTATACGAATTTGCTAAATGCAAGGCTTACCCGTCCAGCATAAGTTTTTCACCTGATGGCAAGAAAATGGCTACTCTTGGGTCTGACAGAAGAGTTAGAATTTTCCGTTTTCTGACAGGGAAGCTCATGCGAGTCTTTGATGAATCATTGAGTGTGAGTTTGTTCTTGCTTCTTTTTTTTGAGGCTTTTTCTCTACTTACTTGAATTGGTTTACTAGTACATTCACCTAAGTTATCATCTGTTTCTAACGCTGACCTTCATTGCTGTCTTTTTCTTGCAGAAAAGATTTTCTGTGTTCTCTTCCTTGCCTCTTTATTGCTTTGCCTCAGAATTAATTCTTACTCATTTATGTTAGTTATGCAGAAGAACAAGTTGTCAATTTTCATCTGTGTTTTCTTAAGCTAGATTTCTTTTTACTAGAAAGCAATTATGGAAAATGCCCATTTCAAGTAACATCAAAATAATGAATTAAATTTGTTGTCTTCTGACTTCATTAGACAGCTGTGTGCTTTGCGTTCTTTGCTTAAGCCTAGTACTACAACATGCCTATTGGGTCATGAAAGTAAAGAGAGTATTATTTGTATTTGTTTTAATTCTTCAGTTAAGTTTGAGTGGAGTAGTCTTACTTGAGTTCTGTATTTTCTAAGCATGTATGTCAGTGCTTTGCTGGATCAAAAGTTTAAAATACGTTCATGTAATATTGATTTGTTTTTTTGCTTTTGTCTGTAGATGTTTACGGAACTTCAGCAGATGAGACAGCAACTACCAGACATGGAGTTTGGCCGACGTATGGCAGTTGAGCGTGAACTGGAGAAAGTAGATGCAGTACGATTAATTAATATAGTTTTTGATGAAACTGGACACTTTGTTCTCTATGGGACAATGTTGGGCATTAAGGTCATAAACGTAGAGACTAATAGGTGAGTTCTAATAACACACAGTGAGATTTGTCTGTTGGTTTCATAGTCTATATTCAGTTACATTTATCATTTATTTAAAAATTGATATGACTGGAGGGGGTCTCTGAACTTTTTTTATGTTACTATTTGGGAGCCTTACATTAGATACCCGAGTACTTACTAATGAGTCGTTGCAGTTTGAAGCTTAGTAAGATGAGGAGGAGATAAGGCAAGCGTATGTGTATTAGCTGGAGATGAATTGATCATACACTTCTAACTGGATGTGATAACATAAAGTAGACGTGGATCATGCAGTTGGGATTTTATTGCATAAGGAGGCTGACTGGTAGTAAATTGTGTAGCAAGTTTAATAGAGAAGCATCATAAAAACAATTAGTAAATTATTTTGAGAAGGCTTTGGAATTTTGTTTTCAGTCTTGCAGTCAGATAGGAGACATTCTCTGACTGTGAGCAGCTAATAGTAGTTACACCTTTTTCCTTGTACTTCAGGTGTATTCGTATCCTGGGAAAACAAGAGAACATCAGGGTGATGCAACTAGCTTTGTTCCAAGGAGCAGCAAAGAAACATCGTGCTGCAATCACTATAGAGATGAAGGCATCTGAAAATCCTGTTCTTCAGAACATCCAAGCAGATCCGACCGTAATCTGCACAGCTTTTAAAAAGAATAGGTTTTACATGGTGTGTGTGGTTTCTGTTTAAGTAACTCTGGTCTTGTATTGATGTTTAATCTTCATGAGATTTTATGTTTCTCCTTGCATCTTTCCAGTGCTTTTTGTCTTGAGTATTTGTGAACACAACTTTTCCAGAGGAATCCCTAAAGCCTTGTAGTCTTTGATTTTTTTTTTTAATTTTTTGTTGTTGTTGTTGTTGTTGCATAAGCAGTTAAACTTGGATAGTTTTGGCTGTCCAAACTATAGAAGGCTATATACTTTTGTTCTAGCTGAGAAAAAAAAAAGTAAAAGAACATTTTAAAAACCTAACCAGATCTTATACTGCTAAAGAAACAATAATTAACTGTATAAAATACATAATAAAAAATAATTAAATTCAGAGCAGCATCAGGACTTGCTAGCACAGAGAACATTATGGGCAAATAACTAAGACAGGACTCATCTTCCTGTTTACAGTGTAGGTTTTAGGTGGGATGCAATGGATAAGCCAAACAGACAAGCAATTCCAGAGTAGTTAGTAGTTGATCTGGGATGTGATCACCACAGAGGCTGGAGATTGGTCTGTGTTTACTTCTGATTGAATTTGGTCATTTTTCCAGTGGAACAAGGAAGTATACTTTGTAGAGCTTTGTGCCGTTAGCGTGCAGTATATAATGGAATATACTACTGTGAATGATTTGACAAGTGAGGACGAAAAGTTAGACAAATATCTGGAAGCATTAGTCACTGTTAGAGAACACATGACTGTATGCATGCAGAAAGATTAGTGATTGCCATTTCATATGTAAATGTACTTAAGCGGACGCTCGTGTACTCGTATATCTATTCTATGTTTTCCTATAAGTACTATAAAAATTACACTTCTGAGAATTTCTACTGTTTTGAGTTAATTTTGCTGGTTTTCTGTAGTTTTCTATTAATGAAGTATTGGAATAAGAGGATTTAGTTTGGCTTTGTATTGAAACTAAAAGCTTTGTGATGGAAACTGCCAGTTTTGTTTGACTATAGCAGAACACATTGATACTCTCCACTTTTTTTTTTTTAAAGAAAAGATACTGAACTACTGTGGGCTTTCCGTTTAAAAGTGGAGGAAGTTTAAAGATAAGAGATTATAAAAAGTTAGTTGGATTTGCATGAATCATAGTGGAATTTGTGACTGTAGACATGCTGGTAACGTACAACACAAATGCAAGGACAAACTGTGAGTTCTCTCCCTAGATTTCAAATCTAGTTGGGTGTTTAGTAGGTCGAACAATCATATCGATGTCTTGGGTGCAGAGCAGCAGCGTGTAAGATAAGGGAAAAAAGGAGAAAATCCGTTAACCTTCTGTTCTTTTGTTCTTCAGTTTACTAAACGTGAACCAGAAGATACAAAGAGTGCAGATTCGGACAGAGATGTATTTAATGAGAAACCTTCTAAAGAAGAGGTCATGGCAGCCACTCAAGCAGAAGGTCCCAAAAGAGTTTCAGACAGTGCCATCATCCACACAAGCATGGGAGATATTCATATCAAGCTTTTTCCTGTTGAGTATGTATTTGGTAGTTTTTCTGTTATTTTGTTTTTCCTTCCTTCTCTGGTTTTTGGTGGCAGTATCCAAGACTTAATATTCAAGCTCCCCATTTTCTATTGTCTTTTTTTTTTTTTTTGTCCTTGTTTCCTGACAGTTTCTTAGTACATCAAGCTAGGAATGTGACTCTTGACAAACACAAACGAAGTAGGATAAAATTAGATCTAAATAACAGTTGGGGGCACAGGTTGGGTTTTTTTTTATATTTTCTGCTTTTATTTAATTATTGGTTTAGGGAGTTTATTCCTCTCAACTTTCATTCTTTCTCTAAACCGCAGATGTGGATAGGTCATGATGCGCTTCTGGATAGGTCATGATGCGCTTCTGGATAGGTCATGATGCGCTTCTGGATAGGTCATGATGCGCTTCTGGATAGGTCATGATGCGCTTCTGGATAGGTCATGATGCGCTTCTGGATAGGTCATGATGCGCTTCTGGATAGGTCATGATGCGCTTATGTGTAAGCAACATATTATTGTAAGGCAGTGCTTTTGAGTCCATCTTGAAAAAAGAATAATGATGTTGGCAAGAGCAGTAGACTTGTCAGTAGGTCTGTGTAAGCCAGAGGAATAGTAGCTTGCAACTTCCAAATGTGGCCGTTGTACTACATTTGACATTACTGCAGCTGCTTTGAGAGCAACATAAAGTCTATACCAGCATATAATATTAGTGCTGTGTATATCCAAAACAAGACATGTAACTTAAAAAGTTTTGTGCAGCACAATTGCTAAAGTTATTGTGTCAGCATCTCTCCTTTCTGATGCTAATATATGCAAAGATTTTGTTAGGAAGCAGTGAATTTGTATAATATATTATATCGCTATACATTGAAACTTAAACCATTTAAGTGTAGTCCATGCTTCTCCAAAAACAAGTTCATGTTTTGTCAGGAGCACAGGCTCAATTCTACCCTGTAGGGCTGCTGGTCTTCTACTATGCTCTTCACCAGTGTCTCCTCGCATCAGGCCCTGGTTTCTGCAATTCATAATTGTGGCATATAGGTTGCAATAACGGTACAGCCCTTGCCAGTGAGTGACAGGCCAAGCTCCATTATTTCTCCCTTTTTTTTTTCTAATTCTCCTGCCAGTGAGTCACTGTGTTTGCCTGCATAGTGCTACTGGGTGCTTCACTGCAATGTTTTGTATGCAATTTGAAAGTAAATACAGTAATACTGGGTTTGGTTACTGTTAGATTTGACCTTTTCTGTTCTAGTATTTCCTACCAGCTGAGCTTTGAATTTAAACTCTGTTTAAGATGAATGGGATTAAAAATTTGACTATATAGCATGAGGCTTTGTTTGCCCTTTAAATCTTTGGCCATCTGTTTGTGGAATAAAGTTGTGAATTGCTATGTCCTGCTCGGCCGGAACTGGGAGTATAACCTTGTCTGTTCCATTAGTTATGCCACTGGCACTTGGTTTCACGAGACAGTTAAGAGCATCACTATGCCCAAGATAATGTTCCTTGTCACAGCTAAAGTAACTTGGGTGTTGTCTTATTTGCTGGGAAAAACATGTGTGACTGCATAAACCTGTCAGTATAGATCTACCCTGGCTACTAATCCATTTTAGAAAACTAGTGGGAAGAGCTATCACAAGAATTTTCACTCTGGTAGCAAATCTCTTGGAAGTGAAAAATCAAGTCATGAAGGTGAAGGGGTTGTTTGTTTTTTCTCTGTTTTTATTCCAGCAACAATAATATTGCACCTCTTCACCCTGCTTCCAAACAAGGTTTGTGAGTAGTTTCAGAGGAGGATAACTGACTCTGCTGACTGCAAGTTCTATAGTATTAGAACGTTGTGGTTTTAGATTTTACTTTTTGTATGCAACACTGGACACCTTATGTATATAGCTTAACAGAATTGTAGAGGTAAAAGAGTGAACATCTTTCTGCTTATGTAGCAGATGCTCCTTAATTGATTTTGTAAATAAACTAGATAAGTAGAAAGTCAGGAAAGGAACATCTAATCAGTGGGGCCTTGAACCTAGGCTTTGAGGAAATAGATTTGTTTCCTGACTGCTGTGGTTTAACCCCAATCAGCAACTGAGCCCCCCGCAGTGGCTCGCTCACTGCCCCCCTGGGTTGGATGGAGGAGAGAATAGGAAAAGTGGGAGAACTCAGGGATTGACACAAAGACAGTTTAATAGCCAAAGCAAAAGCCATGCACGCAAACAGAGCAAACTAAGGAATTCATTCACCACTTCCCAGGGGCAGGCAGGTGTTTAGTCGTTTCCAGGAAGGCAGAGCTCCTGCACCTGTAGCGGTTACTTGGCAAGACAGACGCCATAACTTGGAATATGGAATATCCCTGGGGTCAGCTGTCCCAGCTGTGTCCCCTCCCAAGTCCTTGTGCACCCCCAGCCCACTCACTGGCAGGGCAGCCTGAGAAATAGAAAAAGACCTTGATGCCATGTGAGCACTGCCCAGCAATAGCGAAAACATCCCTGTGTCATCAATACTGCTGCTGCCTTCCTGTGTAGTCACGCAACCTCGTACTCTTGCGTTTCTTTGCTTTCAGGTCTGGGTTTGAGGAGGTGGGGATTTGCTTTCTCTTTTTTTTTCCTTATTTGATGAAAGCCCTTCCTATAGCATGCTCAAGCATTGCTTAGTACAACAGGAACTTAGTCTCAGCTGAAATCTTTATGGTTTGCCACCATACAATTAAATGTTTGTCACAGCCTGTATTTTCTGTTACATGATTTTAGGTGCCCCAAAACAGTGGAAAACTTCTGTGTGCACAGCAGAAATGGTTATTATAATGGACACATAGTTCACCGTATCATCAAGGTAACTTGTAAAAAGTTAGTTTTGGTGCATTTTATAAACCAACTTTGTGGTCAGTCCTCTCTGTTGGCCCTTTCCTTTCCCTTTTGCACAAAGGGTTTCTGGAGTGGCTTCAGAATTTCCTGTAAAGTCTGAACAACTCTGAGATTCTAAACAGCTTTGTCACTTACTGAAGTTATTTAACAGTTGAGCTGCAGCTGACAAGGTGGAAGAAATCTGAGAAGTGAAAGATTGGTTCAGCAATCCTGCTTGAATTACGGGTTTGTTTTGTGTCAGAAGGCATTTCTTGTAAGACTTCTTACTTCTGCTGCCCCAGAATCAAGCCGATACAGCCTAAGCGTTTGCAGAAGGTACAGATGGTCAGGTTTCTGTCCTTCAGGACAAGCAGGAACTTGTTTTTTAACAAGTACTTGATTACCACTTAGAAGCCCTGAGTGCTTTGTTCGTTATCCACAGCATTTTAACACTTAGATTTTGTTGAAAGGTTTGAATTACAGTTAAAATAATGTCACGTTGCATAAACCACTTTTGCTTATTTATTCTATGTGATAATGTAATAGCATTTAATTTCTGTGCAGGGTTTCATGATTCAGACCGGCGACCCAACTGGTACAGGAATGGGAGGTGAAAGTATCTGGGGCGGAGAATTTGAAGATGAGTTTCATTCAACTTTACGACATGACAGACCATACACGCTCAGCATGGCTAACGCAGGACCAAATACCAATGGATCCCAGTTTTTTATAACAGTAGTGCCAACTGTAAGTAATATTAAAAAGCGCAATTTAAGGCTTACGATGCTAACTAGATAGTATCAATATATTCTTTTCGGATGAAAAAAGGAACATGCTAGTACTACCTAAACAACCTTTTCTTGTTATTTTGCAAAGAAATGCTGCACCCAATAATGTATACGCTGCAGGCTTGACTGAAACCATTCTTGAAAAATAGAAAAACATTTCTGTCAGTTGTGATCAAGAGGCCTTTTGCCTTTAATTGGAGTAAGGGCAATACCAAATTCTGAGTAAATCAGATGTGTTTGCTACTGTGTATTACTAGAGTATTTTATATTAATATACTAGTTTAAACTTGATGGAAATCTAGCTATGGCTTAGATTGTCCAAAAACTTCAAACATGGTGCTAGGATGGTTCCTTAATATTGCCTAATTATAGCTATACAAAGAAGCCAATATTCAGGGTTAAAGATTTCCTTTAATCTCTAATTTCAGAGCCAAAAAAAGAAATTTTGGTATGTGAATCTAACAGATACAAACCAAATTCTTAAAGGTAACATGTACAGAAACTGCATTCTTATAGCACTTTCTTCAAAATCATGTGTCTTTTTTTTTTTCTAAAAAGCACCCATCTACCATGATTTTGAGGTTTACCAAGTTATACCAGTACCTATATTCAGATTGCTAATTGGGCATACTGTATGACTGACTTTGAATTAAGTAGTATTCTGGACCAGCACTTACAATTCAGCTGTGAAAATACCATGAAATAGACTGAAACAGCATTTCTGTGAACTGAGAATACACTTTATCATAAACCATGAAATGCTGCTGCATTGCTAGAACTTGACTTCTGTAGTACTTTCAAGAAAACAATGGAAAAGGTGAGTTTAAACACATATGAGTATGTGTTCGCTGCACTCTATTTACTTACATGCTAGTATTTACATGGTGTTAAGTTTCACGGTCCAAACATACAAAATGTCTCCAGGTTCACTTATTCTAGGTCAGTCTCTTTCTGGTTGGGTACCTCCAACCTGCATGCTGCCTTCTATTTCAGTGTGTTCTTCTTTCTCCTTTTGTGCCCTTAAACAGCCATGGCTAGACAACAAGCACAGCGTGTTTGGACGGGTGACTAAAGGAATGGAAGTTGTCCAGAGAATCTCAAATGTGAAAGTCAATCCCAAAACTGACAAACCCTATGAGGATATCAGCATCATTAATATCACAGTGAAGTAAGCAAGGAGTTGAAGGTTCCAGCTTAAACAGAAAAAACTTGGCATAATGGGACCCAAAAATGGACCTAGAAAGAACAGAACTGCGGAGACGGGAGTTGGAGAATCCACAAAAGACTCAATATGAGTTATATCAGGAAACTCGTTTTATTGTGCAGATGCACTTTCTTATATAGCATAATTTTCCAAAGTCATCATGATTTGCAATTTTCATAAACTCCAATTGTGCTATACATACATCAGTCACCTGCTTCTACCTATCACTTTACTATTAATACTAATGCGTTCCGCCTCATATGGATATTAGCTTCTTATTCTTCTATTCTGACCCTCAAGGTCGAAGCGTCCTTGAGGCCTACTGTGTTAGTTTAGACAAACTGCTCAGTTTTCCTTGTGCAGACCCTCTAGCATTCCATGCCTGTTTTCAGCGAGCTATGCTCCCACAAGAAACATTTTTAATAATTCCTAAATATAAGTGCAAGGACGGAGCAATTGCCAGTTCTACTATTTTTAATGTACCTAAAGTGCCCTGAGTCTGTCTTTCTGGTAACTTGGTATTTTAAAAGTAAAAATCTGCACATTTCTTACGAAGTTTACTGTTTTTTTGCATCTATTCTGTGCAAAACTGAAGATAAAAACCCACACAACATGTCATGATAATGTTTATAAAATAGGATCAGGATAAATTTTGTAATTTTTTCATGTTTATTTGCATATTTTCTATCTAATTAATCCTTTTCACAGTATTGAAATCTTTACCAGAGGAAAAAGAAATCCTCAACTGTGAGTTAACTCTTCAGTCATATGTACATGCATCAATATCATAACTTGACCTAGTTTTTGTTTGCTATGACAAGGTATGTAACCTACCTCTGTCCTTTAAAACAGTTGTGTTTGTGTCTTTGGTGTCCAAGAGCAATGATCAGCTCTTGGAACACCCATGTATAAAGTCCTGTGCAACTTGTTTGGCATTGCCAATAATGGTTTTTTCTTTCAGTGTTTGCTTTCTCATTATTTTAGCCAGGAAGTCTGTTTCTGGCTTCATTTTTACCCAAAGTCCTACAACCATTACTCCTACTGAAATAAGCTTAGTTGGCATGATTGCCATCATGTATTTTGAACTAAGTACATCAGGTGTTTCTGATGCAGTCCTCAATGAAGGCTCAGACAGCTTCTCAAGCTGCTGTGAATCTGTGCTAGATACAGTCCTGTTAATATATGGGACAGTGCTATTGTATTTACAGTACACCTAACTAACTTTGACTGTTTATGTTCACCTAACACCACTGCACTCATGCAAGACCCAGGAGTTTGCAGTTCTGGTAACTTCATCCATGAACTGAGATGTGACACATGCTAATCAAATTCAGTCCCTCAAGCTGCTACCACAAGGAAGCTTATCTTGAGTGAGATAAAGGAATATCTTCAGAGATCAATAAGAAATATTCTACAGTCAGTTAAATGTAGCACACCTTTATTCTGAGTTGACCTTGACCTTAACAACAAGGGCAAATTTATGAAAATTCATTCTCAAAGTTTTAGATACTTTCATTGAAAAGAATTCATTTTCTGGGCAACTCAAATTGCAGCAGCTTGTGAATTGTTTCCACTAGAAGAGCCCTTTCTTTCAAGAACTCTTTACATAACATCCACCTACTCCAACAGCTCAGCCTAACAACTACTGCAGAATAAAACCCTCCTTATGTACCATATAGTCCACAATAAATTTGAAGGTAGCATGCACTAAGACCACTTCTAGTGATAGAACATCATTTTTCAGTTAGCCTAGACATAGTATTTTTGAGCTGAGACTCTTTAAAGAAAGCCACAACACAGTCACTGGATGTTGTATATTTATTCGCTTCACAATTAAGTCAAAATCCTATGCAAAGTTACTCAGTCTTTTCAGACAACCCTCACAGTAATGCTTGAGTGAGTTCTAGTTGAGGAAATACTCCCAATTACATATCGCATAAGTCAGTACACTAAAAACTAAAGTTCAGGAAAACTGGTGAAACAAGCTTAAATTTATAACTGAAGCAGTTTATATGCAGTATTAGTTTATAATACAAATAAATCTTAGTGCACCTGTTTACACTGAAACGTTCACAGAAAATTCAACACTTTCACAGTTACTTCAAGTCATCTTAAATAAATTCCATTTAAAAACACTTTTGTGGCAGCATTCCACATGCCACAAGCAGTCCTTTGTACTCAACAATATGCATGAGTGAGAATTTTTCCTCTGCCCTCAAATGTAATGTTACAAAAAAATCCAACCTGGTCACCTTGAACATTTTAAAGCAGAAGCAGAACTATACTGAGAGGCAGGTATAACTGAAGCGCAAGCAAGCTAAAATAAAATTACAGAATTGGGGTTTTCTAAAGAATGTATGTTTTCTCTTTTAAAAATATTACAGGAAAAAGTATCTACCATGCTTAGCAGAATGTGTTCGTATTTTAAGAAGAGCTATGAAGGGACAGTCAGCTCTAACTAGGTCCAGGACTGCTCTGTAGTACAGAAGAAGTAGATGCTCAAGTCAAAGCCATCAACTAATGTCTATGGTGCAAGAAGCTCAGGCTGGGAAGGGTGAACAATTTTTAGTCCGGCAGGTGCAAGAAAGCACCTTTCACTCCACTGTAAACTATGCCCCAATTTACCAGGTTATCTGAAGAAAGAGTAAATACCCTTCTCAGTACCTACGTACATATGTAGGCATTGAAACCCATTTCACGTTTAACTAAAGCTTAGTGTTCTGTCAGCTACTATTCAAGTCATCAGACTTAATGAATCTGAAGCTGCATTTAACACCATTTAGATGAACTGTAAAAGTAATAAGAGAAAACTACAAATGAGCATCATCATGAGGAAGTAGTTGCCTTAACTGCTTCCTATTGAAGAAAAGTGCAAGTGTACTAAATTACTTGTTTATACATTCTTGGCTTTACCTAAGGTATGTAGTGGGAAAACATCATAAAATCAGTATTACCATAAAAGCCTATAGCCACAGATAATGGTATACATTTTCTTTGCCAGGTGAGGTTCAGAGCTAAGGTAAATGCACTTTTCAGCATGGCAAAAATACCTACTCATTTGTGAAATGACCATGCTCATTTCCACTGTCTGGCTCTCCTGATTCACCTCTACTCCAGTAAGAAAAGCGATGATACACAGTTTTGATCTACTGCCCATGCTCTTCGTAGCTCCTCTACTGCCATGAAGAGGTCCACGGCATGGGTTCAACTGGCAACAGCTGCGCACTTCAAAGAGGAGGGCAGAAGGTTCTGGTGTGTGTACCAGACAGATAAAATCGTTAGCAGAGTTTTATGTGCAGCAGAAGAGACATTGCTAAGTTGTTGCAACCTTCTCTAAATTTAAGACAGCACTACACCGGTATTTACTGGGTTTGTGAATCTTCGAAAATAGAGGCATTGGTGACAGTTCCATGTAGCAGATACAGAGAGAACTGAAAACCTAGTTATGGAAGGTTCATATCACATTTTACCATCTGCTCTGCTAAGTTAAGAGTTATAATTTGTGTACACTGCTTTTACATTGTGCTATTTAATATTTTATGGCCACTACCTTAATCTGGAAGCACAACTTCTACATAAGTGTACATAACTGGATTGACATCACACCACACTGCTTCTTTAAGAAGGTTTGGGTTTTTTTTTTTTAAGCTTCTTGAGTGTAAACTTAATCTCTAAAGGCAGATTATGTCCTCAGGCATGCACAAAGTACTTCCACCTCAATATCACTATAGTTTGCCCATAAATAATTTAGCATGTGTACAGTTAACAAAAAAACCCAACTAACCCCTCCCCCCAACTAGAAAACAACCAGTTAAACAATGCCACAGCCCCCTGCAACACTGTTCCCTAGTCTCAGTTTTCTTTACCCAGTTACGCTGCTTTCCAGTAAAAAACAGGGAAGCTAATAAACGATGGGGGAAATATTTTCTTTCTGTGGTGTATTTGTGTGTAATTTTAAATGCCACCTTTAGATGAAGGCATTCTTTAGATGTTAAATAGTAGCACCATTTATTTCTGACTAGTAGACAGAGCTGGTTATTCTAATATCTTGAAACAGATTTTGGAGTTTGCTGGAAATTATTTCTAAACCACTCAAAATTTTTCTGACACCAATCAGCTACTGTAACCGTGCTATAATTATTAGATGAACTCCAATGCATATTTTATCAGGGAAGAATTTTAAATTGTAACAATCTAATTTCACCAAAAAGAATTTCAAGGCACCCTTGTAACAAGCCCATTCAATTACTTGCAAACATACCAAATTCCAAAGATGCTGTAACGGCACAAGTTTATGGAACCAATTATCCAATCTAGGATAAAGGCTTGTATTTTTCTGTAACCACCAAGTTAAATAAAGTCCCCTTTCATACAGCAGAGCTGGCTACAACATCCTAAATCGTGCAAATAAAACAAAACAGTAAACGACAACCTTGAATTGCATCTACTGTGAAATTAAGCCACATCAAGTACACCGGCAGCCACTAGCTGCCTTGAAAGCCAGTCCAATCCTTCATAAAGTCCTGTACCACTTCGGGCATCACAACCCTGAATATACCAGCTACGGCCACAGCAGAGCTTGTGAAGACTCAGCAGTTCTGTGATTTCTTCTACTGAAAGTGCACCTGCTACATCCTGCAACAGAATCAGATACAAAGACTCAATTGTTCTGTATTACATTTTAAGCATTTTATTTTCAACTGATGGCTCAGACTGAAGCTACAGACCACATAAAAGCTTTCCAAACACAAAAGACGAATAAAACAGTTACACATTTACTACTTGTTGCTATGAAACGAAAAACGGTTGTTAAATCTACTAAGCAGGCTAGCATCACTTAGTTTACCAGCATTAAACATAAGGAAAACATCTACATTTTATGCCTTTCACATTCCCATTCCCTACCCACAGCAAGGGGTTCAGAAAGTTGGAACTCAATACACAAGCTGAGGAAAAGAGTAATAGAGTGAAAAAAATCACAAGTACCTGTTTATTAGCAAAGATCAAGAGCAAGGCATCGCGCAATTCCTTCTCTGTTAATAATTTTGCAAGTTCACTGTGTGCTTCACTGACCCTGTCTCTGTGACTGCTATCAACAACAAACACCACCGCTATGAAAGAAAGAGAAATTATTTACAAACATTCAAATACAAACTCTAAAATTACCTTTCAACTTACAGAATTTTTTCTAGCAGTCTTCTACGCAAAGTTTCTCAGCAGTGCACAACTTCAATTTCAAATTCAGGAGGACTGAGAAATGCCTTATGCACCCCTATACTTTTGACAAAAATCTAGAATTTACCCTAAAAGAGGGAAAAAAGGTCTGAAGTTTTTTGCCTAGGCTAACATAAAGGCTGTGTTATTTTAACTACTTAGGTCTAAAACCAGATTTACTATGGGTGGATTTGGTATCTCAGTTTAAACCATTTCTTCATCCATTTATACCAAATCAACTCCCACACAACTGTTCCAGTTTCCTTTAACTGGCTGTAAAATCTAAAGGTTCAGCCAAATTGGCACAGCTACCTTCAGCTACAGACTATGCAATCCAGAGAAGATTGCCACAGACCCGAGACAGCAGCAGTAGATTTTACTATCCGCTACAGGAAGTAACCAAGATGCCAGAAAAACTGCAGGATTGGAGAGGCAGAGCTTGAGGACAGAATTTAAACTCATGTTTTTTGCAATGAAAAAAAAACCCAACACAAAGCTAAACAAAACTTACTGCAGGTATGCACCAGGTTAACTGCTTAGATTTCTCTCCAACACAAAATTCTTCAAGGCAGACATGATTCCATGCTACTGGTGTTTACATGGTAAGTTTTGAATGGACAACAGAAATCCCGAGATACAATTTTTAAAAGTTTGGAAAGATGAACAACTTAAAATGTTGAAGTTTGCAATGAAGGCTGAAATAATGCATGAAGTGGAGCATGTAAACTGGTGTTTGTTATTCCTAAGTATTCCAGATAATTTTCAATGAATTAACGAAGAGGAACCCCTTGGAAAACAACCATGGAGGATTTACGGAAGGACAGCATGAATTTCTAAGTCGGCACCATTTAGATCAATGTTTTCAGAATCAGCAATCTAGTCTGTGACCAGATATCACACTGCAATACCAAGTCAGAAATTACAGAACTTTGCAGAATTTTTTAAGTTGCCAACTAAAGGCTCCTAAAGGCTGAGTATTCTCCTTTCAAGTGCTATTTAAATTTCATGTCTGGCAAGTACTGCTTCTCACTATGTGAACTTTGGAACACTGCACCTTGTCTTTTGTCAGCTAGAAACAGTTACATAGAGATTCTAATATTGTTTGGCTCCATGAGCTCTCTGATGGATTTATGGAGAGTGCACCTTTATCATGCAGCAGACATTACGACTAACTGGATTGAAATTTCTGAGCTCATGAATCTAGCCGGTGTACTTTGCATTAGATGAATAAGTTTCTATAGTTATAAATGATTCCTATTAATAATCTTTTCTGGCTCCAAAATACAAGCTAGAAAACAAAATACAGTTTAAAAGTTGTATTAGTCTCACCTTGTGTATTGAGATAATAGTGTTTCCACAAGGGCCTCAATTTGTGCTTCCCTCCTACATCCCAAATAGTAAACTTCAAATTCTTGTACTCCACTGTTTCAACATTAAAACCTAGAATAAAAATATTAAAGTTTTATAGTCTTGTTCTGTATGAATATAAAATAATGAAATTCTACAGGTAAGTTAAACATTCAGAAAAATCATTACATTTAAATTGTTGCTACTGACCTATTGTTGGAATTGGCTGCATGAATTCATCTTGCTTTAACTTAAACAAAATAGTTGTTTTGCCAGCTCCGTCTAATCCCAGAGTGACAACCCGAATTTCCATTTTTGGTCCAATATGTACCCTGTTGTCCTAGAAGAAACAGCATACACAAAACAAGAGCAAGTTCAGGAAATTCAAACTAGAAAACCCTTATGATTAAGATGTTTATCTTGCCACTATTTGTAAAGTGACTAAATGGATGAACTCAAAAAATACAAGGCACAATCAACAATCACCTCCAGCGATAATATAAACCCACATATCCAACAATCCCTGTAGTGAAGCTGTAACTTTTCCCTGAGTTACCACGTACATTTTATAAAGACAGCCAATCTCATGCTAGTATGTCTGTATGTGATAAAATTCTTTCAAATTCTTTCATCATTCTTGCCTCAAACCACATGGAAGTTGTTTGTAGCAATTAGTTAGAATTCTCTGACCAAAGGACTCTGCATTGGTTTTGTCGCTTTCCACTATGTTTTGTCGCTTGAACTACTTCCTTGCTGGAGGCTCCATAGCTACGCCTCTTCATATCAAGCCATTTCCAAACCTTTACCACATTACAACAGCAACATTGCTAGCTAAGCAGTAATCTAAGATAGTGAAGAAAAACAAACCAACCAACCAACCACCCCTAAGCCTTGCTTGGAGGCAAGGAAAGAGAATCAACTTCCTGTTTGTAGCTTAGACAGCTACCGTGAGCATTGAACAAGCCAGCGCTAACAGTGCGATCAAGTGCTATCACCAATAAACTGTACATTGTAAAATAAACGACACAGGCTGAGATCACTATGTATCCCTGAAATATGTTTTGAAGTACTCAGAAATGCTACCTTGATGAAATATCAGTCATCAGAACTATGTGGCAATATATTTGTTTTCTTGCAAAATCTGGACAGCATAGCTTCTTATTTCTTCTTGCACTAGAAATGCTGTTTATTGAGTGCAAAAATGATACAACCTCTCCTGGTACAAGTCCAACACGCACCAGTGTGACCAGATGTACAAACATCTGCATCATGTGACTTGAGATAGATACATTTACACACACAGGATCCATTATATAGCTAGATATATGTCATCATGACACAACTCCATTCTCCCCTCTGTCACAGGTGAAGTAGCATTACTGCCAGAATAATCAATACAGATAAATTCAATGACCTTATGCTATTGCAATCTCCAAAGACAGTAATAACACTGAGAAAATGCTTTCTAAACAAAAAAATTAAAAAAAAAAATATCCAAATACCACAAAGCAAAAGTCAGCAACATCACAACTGTAAGCGCAAGAGTCAGATCAAAGGTCCCTCTGATCTAGGATGTTGTGTGAAATTAGATAGATGGATACATGTGAAAGTAAGGAATGGGGAAAGCCCATAGCGATAACTCCCCTAAACACCCTCCCTGCGCCTAACAGCTTGCAGCTCATGGACTCACTGAGCCAACAGTGAGGTTTCCGCAACTAAAAGATCTTGATGTATCACTGATCTATGAATCTGTCTGTTTGCTTCTTAAAACCACAGACATTTTGGGCCCAGTAGATCCTTGGCATAGAACTCCACAGGCTAACTATTTGTTGTGAAAAAATGACTTAATTTGAATCTGTGAAAAAAATTCTAAAAACTGAGCAGTTTCAGTTCAGCAGTTCAGCTACAGCTTTGACACAGCACAAGGCAGACACTCCAAAATCAAAAGACTAACTGAATATTTGAGATTTGGAAAACAAAACACCGACTCTTACTTGTTTTTTAATAAATTTCCTCTAAGTGCTAGATACTTGGATTCAGAGCTGAAGTTTCCAAATTCAGTGACAACATAGCAACTCAGCATGTTATCAGAACATGTTAGCTCCTTTAGAGAAGAAAAACCTGCAGGCAGGTTCTTGACAAGCATGTCAGCAGCAAAGGTGCAGGCAAAGAGAACCAACGTGAAAGATGCAAAAGGCACTGAAGAGTGTAAAAAATTCCATGTCTCCTTCCTTTTCATGCTCAAGCCTCAGTTCTGATTTTGTCTAAAATTTCTGGGCATCAATCTCTACTCTGTGCCTGAAAGGAAGGAGGAAGGAAAAGAGGCAGCTGTGGATAGAGCTGCTAAGTTTATACTTTTCTTGCTGGAAGCAGTGCCCTGGCTATGGCCAGAGCTTGCTGACAGTAAGCCAGCCTGGCCACCGTCTCAGGGCTCCACCAGAAGCACCAGTCACCTCTATAGCTCCCATGACTGGAGGGCCAGAGGCAGTGCTGGCCTGTGCAACTTAAAGCATCAGGGAAGTGGAAGAGACGGATGATTTTGTCAAATTCAGCCATCCTGTTGTGGCTTGCTTTCTGTAAGGTTTAGAGTGAAAACAGGTTGTTCTTAGTATGTTTGTGTACTCTCAATGCAACCTGTGACGGACACCAAATCTCCACTTTTTCTGTGAGTAGTTCTGTCACTTCAGGAACAACCTTGCAAGAAAAGTTCCCATTCAGAAAACAGTGTATAGCACCTGTAGTACGAGTCAGAAATAATTGACTATTGATGATCACAGCTAGCAACTGGCAGATGAAAAAAACATCTCTGCATCAACTATATCAGCACCTTTAATCAAAAATGTTATTTAAAAAAATCTGGCCAGTAAAGTCTCTTCGTGTCTGCATTTCTGGCAGGTGCATAACTTGACAGCATACTTAAAAACAGGTAATCTGTGACTTCTGTTCAAGTAAAACTTGGGTTTTTTTAAATCTCGGTACAGAAAGCGCAGAAGAAAAACCCACACAACAACTGTGATCACTTGCTTTTTTTCTCCTTGGCTTTAGTCTTTGTTAAGAAATTTGTTGATGTGACAAAAGCTGTATATAGGTTTCCTTCAAGATAGTGTTAAGTGCTCTCCCTCTGACAGATTACTGTCTTCTTGGGTACTCTTGGTGTTGGTAAGGGTTAGCGGTTTCCCATACTTGCTTCAACGTTGATGGGTAAGTGCCCTTTACTATCTCAGGTACTCATTTCTTAATCATTTTCACTCTCCCCAGTAGGTACACACAAACACTTAGAACGACAGTTGCTATTCCTGTATGTAACACTCCACAGCCACCACGCTCATCTGACCAGGACAAAACAGCAATCTCTCTCCAAGTAAGGATCACACTCCCGGATGAGGGGCCATTTTCTTGCCAACAAGCTAAGTACACGAAGACATCTCAACCTCATTTAGCCAAAGTCCTCATAAATACATAGATAAATAAGGATTCATGGGAAACAATGTATTAACAGCATTGGGGAAAAAAATCATTATGTATTACCATATTTCTTGAAAGATTTTCAGCATCTTGTCCTGGAATGCTCCAAATCCTCCCTCCAGAGCTTTCTATGTGGCATTTCCTTTGATGGTTTAGGAGGAAGAAACAGCACTATCTATGTTTTTTTTTTTTCACTGATGACACAAAAATGTGATAAAACCTACTCACTCTCAATAGTGAAAAGGACTTCTCCCTACCCTCCTTAAATCTCCACAGCCTTCACTGGATATGGAATGTTCCTCTGATTTGGTACTGTTTCAAATTTTTTTTTAATTTTATAATGGATGCAGCCTTCCACGCATGAGGGTTCCTGAGATATAGTAACTTTACAGTTTTTGATCTGAAAATTTTACTTCTGTCTGAAATCTGTTGCCAAGCACAGAACTTTCAGGCACAACAAGACTCACTACAAGTCACAACAGTGGCCACCAGCATGACAGTATTCTAAGAAAAATGTTTAGAAAGAGAGCTTTAAACTTTGTCAGAAGTGAGGAAACATAAAAAGTGAGAGACTGAAGTAATTATTTTCACCTTGTTTTTTCAAGGCTGTCTGTTTTTGTGAAAAAACGACATTTGCTTTGGCACCTTTGAAATTAAGAATCTAAGCTTTAGATTTCATAAAACCACCGATTTGTCACAGGAGAGAAACAATAGAAGTCCCACTTCTTTCTAAAGGCAGCCGAGGTGTAGAAAGACACTGGAAGACTTCTGGGTCCCCCAAGCCAAGACCTATTTCAGATGTCCTATTATAGCTTTGCTGGCTGCAACCATCCTCTTTCCAAGTGCTCAGAAATTCGCAATCAAAATTTTCTAAGTCAGATTAACAGCTCCTAAAGGCAAAACCAGACATCCAAAATGCCTCTCTGACTCAGCCCTGTGAGATGGCAGCATCAATCAACTCTGAATACACGGAATGCAATTCATCATCTGTGAAATGTGAATGCTGCTTCATTCATGGAACAATGTGGGTTTGCAGAAGAGGTCTGCCTGACCTTACTAACTTGGGTCTCTGCTGAATCGGGAAGGGAGGGGCAGAAGTGAAAATGTTGCGATCATTGATCTGACAAAGCAGTTATTACATGGAAATTCAAATATACTCAAGTTACAAAACAAATCATTGGGAAGAAATTGAAGTTCTGACATCAACAAGGACTGGGAGAGAATCCCCATAGAAGCATCCATTTCCTTACAGTAAAAGCTTCAAGAGCAACAGTTAACTCCTCAGTTTCATCTCAGCAACAATAAATCCTATTCCTCTTTCACCAATTCAGGACCAAAAAAAAAACCCCATAAATCAAAGTACTTCTTGTTCTTTAGAATCATAGAATCATTAGGTTGGAAAAGACCTCTAAGATCATCAAGTCCAGCTGCTGACCCAACACCATTATGCCCACTAAACCATGTCCCAAGGTGTCACATCTACATGTTTTTTGAACACCTCCAGGGATGGTGACTCCACCACTTCCCTGGGCAGCCTGTTCCAATGCTTGACCACTCTTTCACTAAAGAAATTTTTCCTAATGCCCAATCTAAACTTTCCCCGGTGCAACTTGAGGCCATTTCCTCTTGTCCTGTTGCTTGTTACTTGGGAGAAGAGACCAACCCCCACCTCACTGCAACCTCCTTTCAGGTAGCTGTAGAGAGCGATAAGGTCTCCCCTCAGCCTCCTCTTCTCCAGACTAAACAGCCCCAGTTCCCTCAGCCACTCCTCATCAGACCTGTTCTCCAGGTCTGATGGAGACCTATTCTCTCCCTCACCACTCTGGACACGCTCCAGCACTTTCTTGCAGTGAGGGGCCCAAAACCACACACAGTATTTGAGGTGCAGCCTCAGCAGTGCCCAGTACAGGGGCACGATCACCTCCCTGCTCCTGCTGGCCACACTATTGCTGATACAGGCCAGGATGCTGTTGGCCTTCTTGGCCACCTGGGCACACTGCTGGCTTATGTTCAGCCGGCTGTCGACCAGCACCCCCAGGCAAGAGTACAGTTTCAAACTTATTTACACTCCCACGTGAAAAGTACCACTATTATCAAACTCCAAATAATTTCATCCCTTTCAAAGAATAGGTGGTATTGAAATGATACCAAAGTGACAAAAACCTACTTAGATGAACTGTGTCTAAACTATGAGTGAATACAAAGCAACTATAAGACAAATTATCATTTAATGAATGGAAAGAAATACATTATTTTTAATATTATAAACTGAAAGTTATAACAGCATTACTGCATTTAAAAATAGGTGCTCAGTTTTCGCGAAATAAAATAATAAACATTCTGCAGAAGTTACGCTGTCCTCAAGAAAAAGCAAAAAATATACGGAAAAAAAGAGGGTAGATTACTGGTCTGAGTTGAACGTACAACAGATCAGGGATGTTTACAAAGAAAGGAATTCACAAATTCTGTCTTACATATTTGAAAGAAAGCAGGTAATGTTCAAACAAAGCTACTGATACAGTAAATGTGAAACAGATGTTTCTCACGCTAACTGTAACAGCACAGTGCTTTTGTTGCTTAAACACCAGATGGCACTTACCACATAAGATACTGTGGCTCTAACTGACACTGAACTGCCTAAATTCGCTGCTATAGATACAGCATCATAATGAACATATATTATTCCTGCTTTGTTTTAAATTACATTTGGGATTTCATAAACTGGATAGCTGTACTTTCATGAGATTAAGAATACCTTTGTAAAAGTGACAGGTATGCTAGCATCCAGCTGTACGTGATCTGCAAGTTCCGTAAACTGCTGCTGCTGTTTCTGTAATGTCTCTAGCAATCTTGTGATTTCCTGTTTGGCCAACACTACTCTGCAGTCATCCTAAACAAAGAAAACAAAAGCATGCCTTTCCTTTAGTAACTTAATTGAAACAACCAAGCACAATGTAAATATGATAGCTGGGAAGAATGCATTTTAAATAGAAATACTCTAGTTAAAGAAACTCACATTTACAAAATAGATTTATTTAAAATTGCAATACAAATGTGAAGCCCTTGTCCTTCTTCCTTCATTCTAATAGATACTAAGCAGTTCTGCAGATTTAAAAAACTTTTTCCTTGACCTTTCTTAGTCCTGTAGGAATAAGAATATAAATTATAAGAGACAGTCATGTAATTTATAAAGAATATTTATATCATTCATGCCTCATTCCAGTAGCTAGAATAAAGCAACTGCTTTGCAGCATACAGAAACACACTTAACACAGAAAGATTAATATTCACCCTTTAATGATGGGAACATTGGTACAGTTAAAAGTACATTTGACTAAGCAAACAGACTCTAGTTCTGAACTAATTAAAAAAAAGTACAAATAGCACACTAATTAAGTACTTTCTCACACTCAGTTTACTGTTCACTACCTATACTATTTACTTCTTGATGTCACTAAGTTAAGTGAATAACGGACCAGCCAGACACTTTAATATAGCCACTTTCTTCACATATTAAATATGTTGAATTACCCAAATTACAAGTGCTACCGAGAGTTATTCGGTCCTAAAACATTTTTCCCTACCAGACTCATGTAACAACTGTCTTCAAACACCTATACTGGTGTATAGGTAACGGTAAAATCCATCCCATAAGTCTTGTAGGTGTTTTTGCTTCAGTTTCACCCCTCCTTCCCACTAACCTCAAAAACAGCCAGAAATTACTCCAGCCAAGAGAATCATGCCACAGAATTTCCAGCAACTGGAGGACTTGATGGCTTTGTACTGATTATCCTTGTCTAACACCCCCTAACAATGAATACTTCAGTCTCATGTTATATCATCATTGTTTTAACATTGTAAAGGAAGTAAAAACACAGAGCGCCATCAAACCTCTTCATTTGCAGCCTAAACTTAATTTCCAGTTCCATGTATCTCGCTAGATGTTACAGCTCACTTGCCAACCTACCTGTTGTAAAGTCTTTTCACAATGAAGGCAAGCTGTTGAAACTTGTGACAAGAGGATGGTCATGTCTTCTTGCTGTTGCCTAAGCCAAATCAACTTCTCTCTCACATGAGCATCAACAACACTAAGAGCCATTTCCTCCTGACGACAAAGGGTTTCATGAAGATCAGAAAAATAGGCTCGGACACATGAGCGAGCGTTCTCTGCAGTCCCTGGTACCTACAGTGTTGCAGGCAGGAGATACAGAGGATTAAGGACACCAGTTGATTCCAGAAGCACACTTTTCATTTTATTCCAGTTTCTAACTTATGTTCACATCTGCTTGGCTACATCACAGTTGAATCCCCAGTTATACAGAAAGTCTTATCAGCCCTAAGACCAAGATCCTCCAAGATGTTACTCCAACCATCAGACAGCTTATTTGTGTGTATACACACCTTACTAAAAGTGACCAGGGTGAAGGGCCTCAACAGTATCACAGCTCCTGAGAACAGATGCATTCTGTCACAGTACTTCAATACTGTACAAGTAGTTACACAGCTTTCCCTAGTGCCTCTCTATTTTCATGTAGCCTAAAAACATTGTAACAGGCTAAAAGTTCCCCTCTATCTGCTGGCTTAAGCCTCAATACTAACCTGGCAGAGATAAGAACTTAAGGTCTTGTCTTATAAAACCTATGTATAATTTTCAAAGAAATTCTTTATCTTGGTTATTACAAAAAGCAAATATTCTGTGCATGTGGGGAAAAAGAGAAAAGCATACATGTTCAGTATGGGCCATTCCAACTCCATCTTCAACTATTTGTTCTCCTCCTTCTATGTGCTGAACAATTCCAACTAATTTTCTGGAATAATCTGAGATTTCTTCTGTGAAAGTTCTTATACAGTGGGCCATGTCTAAAATGGATGCACGAATCTGGTTTGCTTCTGGTTCCAAGACAGAATGCTATTAATTAAAAGAAATATATCAAAGATCAATCATAAATCTATTCCTTAAGAATCTTTTCAATTTTACTACATATTTAATATATGTGTGCGTATGTGTATATACATACATAAATACATACAGGAAAGGTAAATAAGAATTTAAAAACATGTTGCAATTTAAAACGCAATTAGGAGTTACAGATTAGGCTAGGACTAAGATAGACACCTAGCAATTACACAAGTAAACATACAAATTTGCCTGTTTACCACAATAAACTATAAAAGAAGAAGGGTGGTTAGACCGCACCAGGTTGGGTGTACCTAGTGTTGCATGAGAAAACAAGTTTCAGAACTGGTGACTTCATGTTGGGAAAAAGTTCAGAAAAGTATCAGATAAAGGGACTGTCCACATATATATAATATGGATAAAATAAGTTATCGTGGTCTTAGAAATAACGGGTTTTTTCCTTGTAATTTTACCATGGCAGTTACCTGAAATGAAGGGAGAACAAAAGAACAGTATGAAGTCACTTCTGCAAAGACATATCAAGAATCTACCCTCCTCTCTCGATAATCTTTTGTACTTTAAATTGGACAGTTATGCAAGCCACCCCATGGCATGAGTAGAAACGGGATTACTAGCAGTACCTTATGACCTTGATGCTTCCCGTATTCTTTGCAGACACAACACATAAGAGGACTCGCCTGACAGCCCTCTTCTAAACAAACAAACTCAATGGCATGCACTTGATGTTGGGAGCACATGGTCTTCTCATGAGGCTTATCAGCAAGAGGTACACGCCTGTGTTTCGCTAGTGTCTTTGTAGAGTGAGTAAGCTGGGAACAGTCTGCACACAGGTGAGTGGCACAAACAGTGCAATATACAGATGCAACATGGGCTTCATCTTCATCGCAACGAATGATACTCTAAAAAAAAAAAAGACAGACAACTGAGTTTATTAACATTTAATCCCAGTAACTAAGGAAAATCAGAAGACCTGACACCATTATAAGCCTGAAAACAGACTTTCTTTAAAAGTTACACACTAATAAATGTGGGAGCATAGCTCGCTGAAAACAGGCATGGAATGCTAGAGGGCCTGCACAAGGAAAACTCTGTTGAGCAGTTTGTCTAAACTAACATAGTAGGCCTCAAGGACGCTTCAACCTTGAGGGACAGAATAGAAGAACGAGGAGCTAACATCCGTATGAGGCGGAACATATTAGTATTAATAGTAAAGTGATAGGTAGAAGCAGGTGACTGATGTATGTATAGCACAATTGGAGTTTATGAAAATTGCAAATCATGATGACTTTGGAAAATTATGCTATATAAGAAAGTGCATCTGCACATTAAAATGAGCTTCCTGATATAACTCATATTGAGTCTTTTGTGGATTCTCCAAACTCCCGTCTCCGCAAATAAATATTTGGACTACTTTGAAAACTTGATTTTAAGTTCTCAATAAATCTTTACAAAATAAAATCCTTTCCTTTACAGTCAACTCCAGTAAATTATACTAGAGGTGTTCAGTGATCCAAATCCAAAGTTAAGCGGAAGTTGTAAAGGTTTGGAGGATAAAACAATTCAGGCTCCAGTAATTTCTTCCAAAGCAGTCATTACAGAAAAAAGAATTCCAAAGTTGCAGATAGACAAAACACCAATGGACAAATAGGCACTTAGTACAGTTACCTATTCCTAGAACGGCACTGCATGATACTTTTTGTATACCAGTTGTTAATACTGAAATTACTAAAGCAGATAGTACGTCATGATTAAAACTATCACGTGATGTAGTGGTATGAAATGACTACAAAAAGCAACTACTTGAGAAGAAGAGTTCAAGTCTTCGAGAAGAGTTTCTAAGAAGTTTTAGAAAACTGTCCTTAAATCACTATAACTGAAATATCCATTTGAGTAGCCTTTTCTAAGGATCTTAAGAGCCTAAAAAAGGGGAAAAGAGCATGCATGCTTAGTAGTATCTTTTTATTTTCTGCTTTAGTCAGTACAGATTAGCATTTAACTACGGAGCAATCAATTGAAGCCTTAACACTAGATAGTGAAAAAACAACAGCATTACTAGTGAAATTACATTGGACAAAGAATGGATTTTCATTTTGTTTGCTTGCTTTTTTTTTTTTCTATCAAGAGATAACTTTAAGCAAATGTAACTTTTTGCTTTTTTAAAAAAACTCAGTACCTCTCCAGACAGACCAATGGCTTCTTCTGTCGTTCCACACTGCCCAGCAGGTCCATTCTGCAACCGCTCCAAGAGTTCCAACAAAGCAAAATTCTTTTTCAAGCCCCAGACACCAGAATCTCCTATTTTTGAGGAAGAGATAAATCAAGGGGAGGAGAGGAAGAAACACCTCAAGCAAATACGATCATGAGAAGTTCCACAAACCACAGTTGAGAGTCTGAGAAATATTAAAAGAACATTAACTACAGTGATATTAACTAGAGTGAGATACAACTACCATTTTTTTATGTAAACTCACACTACCTTTTCATCCTATTCCTTCCTTCTGTCATGGAACTATTTAATATTCATGCAGATTTCCCCCATTTAAAATACGCCAAGATTATTAAAAGTTTACAAAAACTCACTAAAACCACTTGTAAAATAATCTGCAATAGCTAATAAAGAAAGACTACAAGGAACACACAAACTGTAATGTGTGTCATAAAAGTTAATATTTTGCATAACTACATACAGTGAACCTTTGTACTGTACTAACAGAAGCTGTGAAGAATCCACACTGACAAACCTCATATTCCCTGAATCACAAGATGCAATACCTATTGCAGATCTCAGTCCAGTAAAACCTGATTAAGAGTTAAAACCATATTCAGAAAAAAAGACCTACATACTATACTATTTGATACAGCAAAAAAGAAGGTATCTCACACTCCCTAGAGCAAAGCAGAAGTCCATGTCTCCTCCTGTATCATCCTCATTTTGTAGAGGTTAACATGAAGCAACATGATGAGAAGAAAAACCAGAATTGCATCCCAATGACTGCTGCTAAATGCTACCTGCACAGGCCATGTAGCATATGAGAACCCTCCTGATTGCTTCTCCAAGAAAGCATCACCCCTTGATTTCTTTCAGCATCATTGTCATGAATTTAATAGACATTTTCTCTGTTGGAAGGTAAAGGTGTCTCAAGAGATGAAGCATTATGTTTCAGCACTGGATCATTAATTTTTAGTCATTACAGATCACAGAATGGTTGAGGTTGGAAGAGAACCCTGGACATCACCTTACCCAGTCTCCCTACTCAAGCAGGGTCACCTAGAGCTGGTTGCCCAGGACCATGCCCAGGCAGCTTCTGAAGATCTCCAAGGAGGGAGATTTCACCACCTCTCTAGGCAACCTGTGCCAGAGCTTGGTTATCCTCACAGTCAAAATTGTTTCCTTATGGGCAGACAGAATTTACTTTGTTTCAGTTTGTGCACATTGCCTCAGGTTCTGTCACTAGACACACGCTCCTTTTAGCTATTTATAAAATATGTCAGCCTTTCCAGTCCCTTCACTATCTCACTGGCCTTTTGCTCCAGTAGCTCCACATCTCTCATACTGGGGAGCTCAAAATTGGACACAGTACTCCAGGTGTGGCCTCACCAGTGCTGAGGACAGGGGAAGGATCACCTCCCTGGACTTGCTGGCAACACTCATAGAATCAGAGAATGGTTTGGGTTGGAAGGGACCTTAAAGACCATCTAG